CTGGATACAACTTATTTTATTGACTATCAGTTATTGCACATTTACTTAGTAAATATTTTTGTACTTCATTCACAGTTACAGATATGTAACCTCTTTGTTCTGACTTGTGGAATGTGTTCTCTGTTAGCGTGTGTTTATTATAACTTGGAACCAAGTTTTGTTGGATTGGCTATTACCACTAGCATTACAGTGAGTTACTTCATAACCATTCGTGTTAAAAAAAACGGTGTTTTTATTACCAAGTTAAGACAAATGCAGCAGCAAATTACGTAAACTGCATCAATGTCAGTTTATGTCAAAGATACAATGACTTGATAACAGGGAGTCCAATCGCATGCATAAATTATTTATTTCTAATTTATAGTGATTTTGTTCGTTGATATGTAATTTTGCTGGATTTATTTCGAATTTTAGATACTAGACGTTTGGTTCATTTCATTTGTAGGTGTATGATGGAATAGGTAGCACAATATATGATCTTCTAGACTATCAGACGTGTATGAACAGTGTAGAACGTATTATAGAATATACGCATGTTCCAAGTGAATCTTATAAAGGTAATACATGTATTTTTCACACGAATACGAATAAATGTATTTTGTCAAAGTAACTTATTTCAGCCATCGTTCTTCTTATACAGGTAGCTGTATTCCACATGACAATTGGCCTGATACAGGATCTATTGAACTTAAACACGTTTCAGCAAGATATGCCGAGACGTCCAATCCAGTTCTACACAATATCACACTACAATTTAAACCAGGAGAAAAGGTAGGAGTGGTAGTATTTAGATTTTGCCCGTGATGTTACTAACATAGATTGATTCGCTCGAATAAATAAAAAAAAACTTACTCAACAAAAATAATGTCTTCTTGACCGTTATACTTGATGTAATAAATCGTCTGCTTACGCGGCGTCTGTTCACACTAAATGTTTTTTAACATATTATAACAATTATTATAAGTAAATTTTACTATTTTTCTTTCGTTAATGTTTTTTTTCCGTTAGATTGGAATATGCGGTCGTACAGGGAGCGGCAAATCATCGTTATCACTAACATTGATTCGTATGATCGACGTTTTTCAAGGTAGCAATATTTACTAATTATGTATTTGTGGAAGATCCAAAGTAATGACGTCCTAACATTACAAAATAACGATCGCAAAATAAGTATCGCAAAGTGACGATATCGATCTCACCTAGTTAACATTAAATGACAATTCAAATAAACATGATGTAAGGCTATGATGTTTAAAGAATATATCATCAATTTAGGAGTATACGGTGACCTTATATACGAAAAACATGTCATGCGATATTGATTTCATATGCATACTGAATCAGCCTGATTTCAATAGCAGGTGGTTATGTTAGAATGTTTATTGCTATCTTTTTTGAGTAATTGAAACTAAACTGTACTAATTAGTTAAGACAAGTAACTTTATATTGAATTAATGAGACATTATCAACTGAGGCACGTTTGAAAAATTGAAAAACTAAGTAAGTATTAACGAATGCACTGTTTTGAACACAAACTCCACGCAAAAGATGGCATGTGTGTATTTGAAACGTTAATTCAATAAGATACAATAATAAGCTTTTGATTTTTGAGCGAAATAACGTAATAACAGCGAACTGGTACATTTAAAGTGAGTGGTCAACAGGATAAATATTTCTAACATTGTCAAAACCATTGAATCGATTTTTTAGATAATTTTAGGTAGTTTACTCATTGTTTCTATGTGTAGCCCTGCTTTGTAAGTCATTTACATTGTTGTCAATGGGGAGTTTTAATAGAAGTTTAACAGTAATATCCTAAATTATTTGCTCAAATCTCACTTATTACCATAGGTGGGTTAAAATAAAAGAATATAAAAATTTAAACTTACTATCGTATATCATGGATTCGGCAATTATAATGAATACCTGCTATTAAGTAATATGTATTAACCTATTTAACTATTTAACACCAAGATTTCGGTTAATATGTTTGAATTACTATTTTGAATTAACATTTATTCCAACACTTCAAATCAGGGTTGACATTTGATACAATTACCATGGTAATACCCATGCGTTAACTCTTGTCATGCCGCCTAAATCCGTCATATCAACCATAAACACAATGACTGTCGTGTTAGTTATGCCAAGCTAAGCATCTCGGCTACGAGGCGTGTGGTAATTATACATACATACTTAATGCATACGATACAAATGTGATAAAATATCGCCCCTATCTGACAAAGAACCTATGATGAATTTGTTTTTGCGTATCTGTTAATCGACTTAATTAGCTGATTACAAGCGAATCGCTGTGTTATGTCTGTCATCGTTTAGGCAGGCGAGGTCCTGGACGGAACTCGACTCAGTGATTTGGAACTAATTACGAGATAACCGTCGCTATTCTGACTACTATTTCTGACAGTTGGTATTCGTAGTTATTAATGTAGTGAACGATTAATCAAAAGATATGACGTATTCGTACTTAGTGTGACTGGCTTTATGATTGAAGGTTACGCCCTAGAGTCTTTTTACTGTTTTGTAATTGGTTAGAGTTTTGAAAATGAATAAAGAGAGTTTTGAGTTGGTCTTGGCGAGTACCACGATAGACGCAGTCTAAGAGTCCAGTCCTAGAGAGTCTTGGGCTAGTCCTGGGTCAGCCTTGCGATAGTCTTGGGGATTTTTCTCCAGGGCGCTGTGTCTTATAGAGTGCACGACTGACCGACTAAGACGAGAGTTGAAACGTATTTCGTTGTGTGTGTCTTATTTGACTGTAAAGCTTAAGTAACTTCCCGAACCCGTACCTCAAGGGGACGAGATATAGAGACGAGACGAGATTCCCCCCTGACAAGTGTGGAGAACCCCGTGGAGAAGAATTTCCCCCTGATAAACCACTGAAGGATTTGATTAACTCGCCATTTGACTCCTATTGAAAGAACGCATCTGTTATTTTGCTTTAAAACACATAGTAATTAGTTACCCTGCCCTCCCAATGTTTGTCCATGTCTTCCAAATATTTACGTCATTATTGTGTTGTCAAGTTTTAACTCATACTTTGTAACAAATAATCAAAGCATGTATATATTCCTCTGATAGCTAAGAATGAATATAACACTAATTAGGTAAGCCTTATTTTGCAGGACAAATTATTATTGATGGTATTGATATTTCCCAAGTACCTTTGTTGATTCTACGAAAGAGAATGTCTATTATTCCACAGGATCCACATCTCTTTGCTGGAACTATTAGGTAATTATGGATGGGAAACTTGTATATGGTGGTTATTATATTACATCGGCACAATTTGAGTCATAGTCAGCAGCAAATGTTTCTTCTAGTATATTATGGACCATATATATATAATAATAAAATAATTATAATAATTTAAGGCATTGAATTTGTTCTCCGCGAATTTCAATAGTGACATGTCAGGGGATTTCACACTAGTATGGCGAACAATTTATTGTGTGTACAAACTCGATTTTTACAGCGTTGAGAGCTATATCAATATTGTTATTATTGAATATTGACAGATTCAACTTGGACCCAGAAGGCAGGTACACCAACGAAAAATTATGGAATGCTCTACACATAGCACAGTTAAAGGACACGGTAGAGATGATGAGAGGACGCCTTGGTAATTACCATTTTATACGTATTCATTTCACACTCATTTATGTAAAGTGCTGATAATGACGCGAGCCTCATTAACAGTGTAATGTATAATATTATTACCTGTATTTCGGAGATGTTGGGAGGTATCCATGTTCCTGTTAACACAGTTGAAAATATTTTCATTGAAATAAATATGGAGAAGCATACATACATAAATACATGTCTGATATCCATTGCAGATGAACAGATTCCCGAGGGAGGTGATACTTTCAGTGCTGGTCAGAAACAGCTATTTTGTTTAGCTCGAGCATTTTTACGTAAAAGTCGAATTCTTATCATGGATGAAGCCACGTCATCCATTGACTTCCATACGGTGAGTATACGTAAATACATTCACATTGGGGTTGGGGTCGGTGGAGACAATTATGCCAAACATTTGAAGGTAGTACAAACACGTGTATTTGAGTGTCAGTGTGGTAAAAGAACATATATAATTATTGATATATTGTAACGATGAATAGACTGACAATCAAGTATGTAAAAAAATAATAACGGCAGGAGTAAGAACATAGTTACTGTATCGACAGACTGTATTTTTACGAATATATAATAGAAAAATAATTGTGACCAGACATTTTTTGTGTTTGCCGAATGAAAAATAACCCTGAATAGCCCACAAAATAGAATATATACTATGTCTATTGGTGTAACAAATACATAATATGAGGACATGGCGGAGTGGGTGAAATAAGCATGTCTTATTTCAGGCTCCGAGGTATTCTGTAACTTTTTCCCTCTCCTAATAGGATGCAATATTACAGAACGTTATAAGTACGTCATTTGCAGACAAGACTGTACTCACAATTGCAGTAAGTGTTGGATTTATTTTTGTGTGTATTTTTATTGATAGTAGTGTAGTATGTTTGTATTGATAAGTAGTATATGCATGTATATCCATTATTGCTTATCACTGTTTGTAGTGTTTATGTTTTATTTGACTCGAATTACTGTCAATCAAATGAGCAACCGTATTTTGCACGGATATTACAAACAATTACAGGTGAGCGATTCTAAGGTGGTGAGAGATTTACAAGGTTTTACTCGGTGGTAGCATGGCCTATTTAATATGACCTAGACATGAGTATTCGTGTTCATTGAATGCTTAAAACAATTATAATGTATATATGTGATTTCTCACAGCATCGCATCTCAACCATTCTTGAATCTGACACTATACTGGTACTGAGTGATGGTGAAGTAATTGAATATGACACACCAACGAATCTGCTAAAGAACAATAAGAATATGTTTGCATCACTTGTCAATGCTTCGCAATAATCAACTGGACAATTAGTGTTATGTTTCATAATATTCATCTGTGCACAGCGTTTGTTTTGTTATGTTTGTTCATTTATCAAGAAATTAATAAAAGGTTAGAAGTCAATACAATCCCTATATTCTGCAACGACAATCAAATGTAGTAGAGGGTACTGACAGTATCCGGTAGTATTCTATTCAGTGTGTGTTTATTTTGTATCCAGTTTGATCCTTGACTGGCAATGTTTTCAAATACTGCATTTACATATCAGTATTACATACTGTAACCAAATTATTCCTGAGGATTGTGGGTACGATATAAAAATAGGTAAGTCCAGTTCCTCCAGTTACTGTCACGTGTCAAAAACTGGGGGTTAAAGCGCGGCAGTCGTCGTGCCGCGTCCTGTTCGATATGGGACTCATAGCGACGTATACAATGCGTGTAAAATACATTGTTTATTTACATGAAATTCGAACACGCGCTGCGCGACGACCACCCGCGCTTTAATAATCACCAGGGAACTCTGTAATGATAGCTACACAAATTGTGGTCACTCGGGTGTTATGGCAGACGAGTAACCGTATAAAGTCCTACAGGAACTTCTGCTTCAATAATTATAGTAGTACCAATAAGCCATTCTCCAAATATCAGTAGTCTAGACAAAATATACTGACAAAATCGATGGAAGCGGAACATCACAAGCCCCCACAAGGAAGTCAGACCAGGTGCACGTGAAGGGAAAGCATCTGCTGCTGACATGCCACACCCGCCGCGATGTTCCAAAGTCATGTCAGGGGAAAATGTCAAATCAAGTTTAATGGACAAACAACCACGCCAAGTCACAAGAACAACACGGCCACATACATCAATCAACAAACAAATATGCAATCATGACAGAAATCCCCTAGGAAGCGACTAAATCATGATGGTGACCAAAAAAACTTCTTAAATGCACGTTTAAGTCGAGGAATCAGAAACCCTTGGCTTCTCAACTTGGCAGTCAATAGCCGAGATCTGGTCAGGCAATCTGACTACCTAGAACATGCTCTCGAGTGTAAGCTGGTGATGTAGAAATGTTGCTATCGATATATGGTATATGGTATATAGTATATAAAATATACTCCATACACAAATTATAAACTTCAAGAATCAAATGATTTTAATGAAGAAAAAACTTCAAAATATAATATAAATATAATATAATATAATACAAGACAAATTATAAGGTTTTTCATCACAGTAACTCAAGTTACACATTCGAAATCGAGAAAACACAAAATTGATAGGATATAGAACGAACAGTCAGTGAGTATATGCTGTGGTATTCATGCAATCAGACAAATATAAAATGCAGTGCTTCTAAAAACACCAATGCAGTCAAAATTATGAATGCTTGCTATCGAGGCGTAGGTTGTAAATTTAACATGGGCTTGTTATTCTAGGAACAAATACGTCGTAACAACTGAATGGAATAGACTTTTTAGTGGGGTGGAAATAACATGATCGGAAGTCCAGGTAGCTGTGGGAATATGTCTGCTTTGCCTTGGTCTACAATGCTCTTCTATTAACAAATACCACCGCTTTCCCTGTAATATGATGCTAGCACCCTCACAAATTGTACATCAAACAAACAAACGTTCACAAATCCCGAACATGTAACATGTCTATAGTGTTTGCCCTGGTATATAACACCACATACAATTATTCAATCAGACGTGTAGCACAACTACTGTAAAGTGTGTTATTGTAATTTATTTCATTATCAGCTAATTTAAACTGAAACCCAGTTAAACAATCAAAGCCAGGATAAGAGCCAATCTATTTTCTGCTTGGACTAAAAAATACACAAATGTATAGCTAGCTTCTTCTTTAAACCAACGCTTCAGTATTTCGTGTTCTGCATACCAATCAATACAGAAAGAAACGGTTCCACGTAACTCGAACGAGGTTTAAAATCATCCAAACGCCATAATAGTGATTCGAGCCAGGCATTGAAGTTATCTAGTAAAGAAAGATCAGATGTTGTATTGAAACTGTTCGATCTGTAAGCAAATAAAAAAAAAACCCATTGAAAGAGACTGCATAATTGCACATATGTCCAGGTCCGTACCATATACAGCCCCCAAATCCTTGAGAAAAATCGCCTATGAGGGGAATGAAATAAATGTGGTAATGTCTTGACGACAGTCGTCAAGAAGAGAAATATATTATGGGTATTTGTGATGAGATTAAGGAAACATTCTGTAAACAATGAGACAATACAACTTGTATAATCATGTGTGAAGTAACTTCACTCAATAAGAAACAAAAAGTGGAGACCGCCACAACTAATCCACTATATTCATATTTGTCTGTTTGAAGGTTAGTGTGATAGTGTGCTAGTTTTTGTACTATTTGTGTTCTTGTTTTACAGTTATTCATGGAATTACACTTATCGTAACGACTTATAGTATTAACAACTTTGGGAATTCAAAAAAAGGAAAAAATAATGATATTGTAAAATTACAAGAAACATACATCATCCCGGCAGACGATAATTTTTTCGGGCATTCCAGTTCTCAGAAAGTTTAGGTTTAAGCACAACACCAATGTCAGCAAGGAAGTAATATTCTGACTTGAAGATAAATAATATTATACATCATTAGAATGGTAGGCTTGTATACTGCATACAGGTATGTACAAGGAGCGTTCAATAAGGAATGCCCCTGACCATTTCCCATAGCAGGAGATTAATGAAACTTGGCACAGTTATTAGTCTTTCTCTACATAGGAACCACCCAGAGTTATGCATTTCTCCCATCGTTTGATGCAGCTCTGGACACCATTTTTGTATAACACCCCAGGTTGGTCCTCCAACCACGTCGTAACTTCAGAAATCAAGGCTGCATCATCTGGAAAACGCTTTCCTTTCAAAAACAACTTCTTGGCTTGGAAGGGATGAAAGTAAAAGAGGGTTCAAGGTCAGGAGAGTAAGGGGGTTGTGGGAGGATTTCATAGCCACACGCCTGTGCTTCTGATCTGGTGACATGCGAGTTGCCGACCGGGGCGTTGTCCTGTAGGAGGAGGATACATTTGCTGATCTTGTCCCGTCTCTTGATTTTGATAGCTTCTCTTAATTTCATCAAAAGTGAAGCGTGATAGGCTCCTGTAATAGTGGTACCCTTTGCTAGGAAATCTGTCATCACTACTCCGTCCTGGTCCGAGAAGACTATGAGCATGACCTTCCACAGAGGGTTACACCCTTGCCTTCTTTGGAGGTGTTGAGTCCAAGTGCTTCCACTGCATTGACTGGGCTTTGATCTCTGGATCATAGTAATGACCCCAAGTTTCATCCTGTGTAATCAGTCTTTTGAAAAACTTTGACTCGTTGTCTTGGCACATCTCCAAATTCATCCACTCGACACGTTCTTGCTTCTGGAAAGGTGTGAGCAATCTTGGAATCCATCTGGTCATGAATGATAGTTTCCACAGACCCTGTACTAATCTTGGGCTATCTGGCAAACAGTAATGCGTCGATCTTCCAAAATGGCTGCCTCAACTTGACGGACAGATGCCTCATCAATGGCAGAA